AGCTGACGCAGTCCCCCCGCCGCCTGCCCCTGCAGCTGGAGCGGGAGCGCGCCGTGGCCCGGCAGCTGCTGCGCGACGGCAAGAAGGAGTGAGTGCGGCCTGCCCCGCGCCCGCTCCCAGCAGCCCCCGCGCCGGTTTCCACGGAGACCCCGGGAGCCATGGCGGCGGGGGCGGGGTTTCCACGGAGACCGGCCCCAGCCGCCCTGGCCCCTCCCTCGCTCATAGATTCACGGATGCGAGGGCCGGGATACGGATATTATTTACGCGCAGCTGCCGTCCTCGCTCGTGCGGTTCTGCGTGTCCGGACTCCTGGAGCCGGAGGTTGCGAGGTGTCCGGTGGCCCTTTGTTTCTGGGTGGTACAGATAGCGTACATCTGCCGAATTTACCCATCCTTACAACCACCTCCCTCACGGGAGCAGTTGCGTCCTCGCGTGTAAGCTGTGGCTTTACAGGAGCGCGGATACCCGCTCCGCTTGCAGCACAATCTCGTCTTCGTTCTGACACGCCTTTCTACCCTTTTGCTCCTTCAGAAAAGCCCTGTTTTTGCTGAAGAAGAAGCGCTACCAGGAGCAGCTCCTCGATAAAACGGAGAACCAAGTCAGCAACCTGGAACGAATGGTACGCGAGAGTCGGCGGCTGCTGGCAGCGAGCGGCCTGCGCGCAGCCGGCTAACTAACCGCTTTGGCACGCGTGCTCCGTTCTGACCGGGCGCGATTACGTGGCGCTCCCCGAACACTACGGGGCCCCATCCCTCGGGGGTCGTGGTTGCACCGTGACGGTTCTTGACACGGTTCTAAATCCTAGTGTAAACCGGTCTTTAACCACCTCTCCTAGCTAGGGACAGCGGGGGAGCAGTAGTACAACCCTTCCCCACGCCCAGGCTTTGCCTCGGTTTTAGGGAGGCCATTTATAACGCGGGTAGCGTACGGTCTTGAGAAGGGCCGTGCTAGGACTGACTATACGAAGCCAGCGAGCCCCGACTGCAGCGCTGCCCTGGATGCTGCAACCCAAACCGAGGGACGTTTTTGCGTACTCGCTTTTCACGGCAGCTCCTAGCGACGAGGCATGGATTTAAACTCGTGATCTCTGAATGAAAGGCTGTGCGTCCCACCTGCCTGAGCCCCGCTGTCTGTCTGGGGCCGGTGTATTTGGGGAGTGGGTGTTGATGGAAGCGTGATCGCTCCCGACCCGTTTGTATTTCTGTTCTGATGGCAGGTCCAAGATATTGAATTCGCCCAGATTGAAATGAAGGTGATTGAAGGCCTGAAGATCGGCAACGAATGTCTGAACAAAATGCACCAGGTACGTGTGGCCTAGAGAGCTCACAACGCCCGCAGACTAGACGAGGCACAGCTCTAGATGTTCGCCCGTCCGTCCTGTATGCCATTCTCACGTGTAAACTTTGAATGTCTCCTCCTAGGTCATGTCGATAGAAGAAGTGGAAAGGATAATAGATGAAACTCAAGATGCCGTGGAATACCAGAGGGTTCGTACCGTGCCTGCCTGCGGTGGTTCTGGGCAGACACCCAGTCATGCAGCGTTTGTAGGGGGGACCCGCTCTTGCTGCCAACTAGGCTAAGACTTGCCAAAACTCATTCGAGAAGTGACCAAATTAGGGTGTGACTCCACCAGACCTCGTACAGCAAAAGGCCGGAGCATCGATTCCCTGCGTGTCACAAGCCCCCCATTACCACACATCCGTTGCACTGCCTTGTGCACGTGTGTTTCTTGCTGTAAGCTGCAGAGCTGCTGCTGTTGTATCATGCTCATTGGCTTATCTGTCTTCCTCACAGCAAATAGACGAGATGCTGGCTGGCAGCTTCACTGAGGAAGATGAAGATGCCATCTTAGAAGAACTAAATGCCATTACTCAGGTGAGCCTTAATCTCATGCTCCGGAAATTGCTTTTAATCCACAGTTTTCAAGTGGCAGTTTTTCATCGGGGAGAGGGGTTGTTTTGCCTGCGGAGATGGCATTTGACTTGATTTTGCCAAGGAGAGGTTAATTGTAGCGGCACATGTTCATCAGCAAGTCGGGACTTGGGAGACTTTGGGACCACGCTGAATATGTTCAAGGGTGATGTTTTATTTCCTCTCTGCTGTGGAGAGCAGTCTGCTTTATCGGCGCCCCTGACCTTTCTGGGGAATAGGCCCAGCTTTCCAGACTAGGACCTGAGCTGTTCCAGCCCATGTTTGTGGCTTTGTATTTACTCGGTCATATTCTCCTTCCGTCCTCCCTGTAGAGCTGTGACTTTTCCAGGTTCTAGGGTGGAGGTTGCTTGGCTTTACCGCAGGAAACCTGCAGTCTGTTGAGACTAGGACAGTGGGGATCCGCAGCCAACTCTGCCAGGAGGAGATTCGTGGCTAATCTATGTCCGCAGCAAGCAGTGTTTTTGAAAGCCAGGTCTTTCCCTGGACAGAACTAAACCCCGTAGCCCCAAGCAGCCCGGCCTTCTGCTGCTCTAGGGGCACGTGTTGTGATGTTCTGTTTCCAAACAAGCTCAGTGCAGACGTGTGGTAGCAGGGTCTTCAGCCGCAAACTGTCACATGGGTGAGCGTTGTGTGATGTGTGTTGTGTCCTTACAGGAACAGATCGAGCTCCCTGAGGTTCCTACAGAGCCGCTCCCGGAAGAAAAGATCCCAGGTAGATCTCGTCTCTCTTTGCTTCTATATCTTCTGCTTCTCGTGTGCCGTCCCACTAGCATAAAGGCAGCGTGTGGGCTGTTCCCTCCTCCCCCTCATTCACAGGCTTTTGAGCGACTAGGGTAGTTTTGGCACAGCCTGTGGAAGTCCCCTTCGTGCACACAGATCTGTGCAATTCAGCCTAACTCTGACATGCGGTCCTCTTGGTGTCCCAGCCCCCGCTGCTGTTCACGTGATGCACCTGCTGAGTGCGCTGCTAGGCTCCCTTACCCTCTGCTTAGATCTGCTCGTCTTGAATGACATTCCTCCACTGCAGTGAATCTGTTGGGCAGTGGAGACCCTTAATACTTGTCCTGTCGGAAAGATCCCTGGAGTTCTTGGTGCCCTTCCTTCCTGGAACGTGAGTTCAGCTCGGGAGTCTATAAAACCAGAGGCATTGGGCTCTTTGCCTGCCAGGCCGGCTACTTTAACAATACGAGACTCCGGTTCAAATCTAATCTGTCCGGTTCTTTGTATATTCTTAAACCAGGCCCATCCACAGGGTCTGTGAGCACCCTGAAGTCTTGGAACCTGAGGCCCGTGGAGCATGGGTTCTGCGGAGATGGTGCCTCCAGAAAGGGGCTGCGTGCTGGCTCACTCCTGAGCCACCCAGCGCAGGGGATGCAGCTGTGCAGTTTGTGCAGCTAGCTCACTAAGTAGGTGAAAAGGGAGAAATGGCCCAGATGTGGCCAGTCTGTAGCCTGGTTTTGGGGAGGAAGGAGTTGGAATCCTGTGCACGTGCCCTTGCTGGAGGGCTGCAGAGTCTGCCCTTGGAGATGGCTGCGAAATGAGGCTGGACCCAGTCAGGGGTTGGTGAAGTGACTCTGGAGAAGGATCAGAACCTCCTGCAGGCTGCAGAACAGGAAGAGACCACCTGCGGGAGGCTGTTAGGTCCAGGAGAAAGGAGCCATCTCCTTTGTGTTGGAGTCTGGCTGTAGGAAGCCTTGTTACGGCTGCGGCAGCTGGACAGCAAATGTGGGTCAGCAGAACCACGCTGTAGTCTGACCATAGCCTGTACTGCATTGTAGTCGGACACTGCAGCTAACCGCAAGCCCTGCTTGTTGAGTTAGGATCAGCTGCGTCCCCCCGAAGGGTCTTGTAACTGGTTGTGGGACAGCTCGTTCAACCAGCGCTTCCAGGAAACCGTCTGCTCTGGCTGGGTGCGTGGCTCAAGGCACAGGCTTACTGTGGCGCTTTGCTTTCAGAGACTCTTTGCAGCCGGTAGTTGTTGAAACTAGGTTGGAGCTGCTTTGAGCAGCATAAGGCAGACAGGAGGATGCTGGATAAACAGCATTATTCCTATTGCAGTGTTTAGTGCATTTCCCAGGTGCCGCCCAAGTGCTTATCGCTCGGCAGAGGAAAGGGAAACGGTCCCCTCTCTCTGCTCGGACTTGGCCCTTATTTTCCTGTTCAGTAACAAGTTTTTCTTTCCTCCACAGAAGCGTCGCCAGTCAAGGTCAGGCCAAAGCCAGAACTGGTGGCAGCATCATAACTCCCACCCCCGGGGATTTCCCCGAGTAACTGTCACCCAGGACGGTTCAGAATCCCAACACGCACTGGCAGCAAGGAGCGCCTTGCCAGCGCCCCGGCTGCGCTGGGTGGGTGTACTGGAGCGGGGTTCCCCACACGGCGTGGGGAGCCTGGCCGGTTCTTGCTCAAGATTATTTTCTAGTGCTTTCTTTTTTTTGTAATTTAAATTCTGAACTCACTCAGCTGCACTGTCTCTGGATTAGATGATGACTATAACACTTCCAAAGCCAAATGCTTCCCGCCGGCCTGGTTTCAAGTGCAGACCTGTCTTTGCAGCCAGCGCTGCCCTCACTTTTCCTGTACCTACGAGAGCCTCCTCTCGGAGCCACGTGCGTGCGTTACATGGTTTGCACAGGAAGGGGCTGGTGTGCTCCTCGGGGCCTTCCTGTTCTCTCGTTCTTCTCTCGGCTGCTCTCGCCTGGTTCTGCTTGTGGAAGGGGCTCCACCGACTCCTGCCCCATCTCCATCTCTCTAGCAGGCAGGGTACTGGGGTCTGAGGAGAGATCGCCAGGTCGTGGACAGTTTGCAGCCAGACTGGGAGGGGCCACCACTTCCGAGCTCCTGCGGGCAGTGACAGTGTCTTGTGCCAAAGAGGAAACTTGCTCAACAGAGCGGAGGAAGGAGTCGTAATACTTCTGCAGCTTCTGTAGCTCAAGCCCCCGTGAGACTATCTGCCCCTCGCTGAATCTCATTCAAAGCTCGTTTACATGTGAGGCCAGCCTGCTCTTCTGGGCCAGGATCTCCACACTGCCGACAGGGCAGTTGGCTGCAGCAGCACTAATGAGAGAGAGACTGTTCCAACACGAGGTGGAAAAGACCCCGTCTCCTGCCAGGACGTGAGTCAGATGCAGCCGGGAAGGATTCCCGTGCCGACTGCGCTCTGCCCACTGGCCTGCAGACGTCTCCAGAGCTGCACGTGGCTGAACAGAACGGAAGGTGTAGGAAGCCGATGAGCTTCCCGAGAGCAGAGCCAGGATTTTCCTGCCTGCAATGCTGCCCCAAAGCTGCCCTACGCCTATTCTGTGGCTGGCCCACGTGTTGTCTATGCTGCATGCAGGTGGACGGATGGGACCTTCTGCTCTTGGCTGTCCTCCCTGCGTCTTGCTTCTCGCTTGAGCAGTGTGAATGGGGGACTGGTTCTGCACAGGAGCGAAGCATGCGGCTTCACAAATTATCACGCTAAAGATTGACTTCCTCCTCTGAAGATGGCAAAGAGTAAGGACCAGTTAGTTCCAGGACTTGACACGCCTGCCGAGGACCCTAAGCCCATCCTGTGGCGCAGGAGGGCACAGCCTGGCGCGGCTGTCGCAGGGGATTTACCATCTGTCTTGAACCAACCTTCTGTTCTCAAAAGCCTCAGGCCAGCTAGCGAGGGTGCAGCTGGGTGTATCCATCCGTTGGAGCTAGCGCAGTCCCAGGCATCTCCAACAGAGGCTTGTCAGCTTGCAGATGTGGCTCAGGCTAATGCAGCCTGTGGCCTGCTCTCCCTTCCGTGAAGGCGGCGCCTTCGTTTCCACACTGGGGCATTGAGACGCACGGTCTCTGGAGGGCTGCTTGGGTGCTGCTCGATGTCGGGGGAACACATGACCCGGTGCTAGATAATAAATGTTCTGAGAGACTCTGCAGCTTCCCAGGGGACAGCGATGGGCCAGCAGCGAAGTGTTCCTCCAGAAGGAAGCTTTCCCTTCATTGCCGGCTTCCAAGGGCTGAACTTTCTGAGCTCTTTCCTGCCCGGGGTGCAGGGTGTCTGGAGTGTCAGGCTCTTCAGGCCATCTGCATTAGATCCTAAGTAGCATTTCCCGCAGAGTCAAGGTAGCAGCAGGTACCCTGGGCACCCTTGGCCTCATGGCTGCTGGATCCCTTTTCCAAGTAGATGCGACCTTGCCAGCTGGTGTCTGGAAGAAAGAAGCGCCAACCCTTCCTGCAGCTGACAAGGCAGGATGAAAGCAAGCCCCTTTCCATGCACTCATCTGGAGTAAATGCCCAGGCATTGCCCCACCAGTCCTCTTTGGAACAGCAGCCGAGCTGGCCCCGAGATGAAGGCAAGAGATTCTCCATTCCCGTCCCTCGTGCGCCTCCCTGTTTTTTGTGAAGGGTTTGCTTTGTTTGTTCCTGGTTGTAGCAGCCTTTGAATATCCTGCAGTGGACCGCTAGAGGGAGACCTGACCTCATCCGAGCATCACTGTGGCTCCTTTTTGCTGCTGAACACACGGTTCTCCCAGTCATTTTAACCTCTTGCTAGCTGCCTCTCTGCTGGCTCCTTTGATTTCACCCCAGCTAACCCCTTCTGGCTAATGGGAGCGCATGCTGGGTGATGACAGCGAACTCAAAGGAGGGGTGTTTTGCACTGGTGCAGACTTTTTTCCCCCTTTAGTATTGTGAACACGCTCCATTAGGCCGGGCTGTCGCGTATCACTGTGCTCGAGGAAAGGGAAACACTTTTTATGCTCCAGTTCCTGTCTTTAGCGAACGTCGCAGTAACGAGAGATGCAAGCGAGGCAGCCCGAGAGGGGTAGCACAGCTGATGTGTCAAGTGCCCTTAGCTGCCGGTCAGGGAGCTAACTGTCCTGCTTACCCTCCATGACCTCCTGCCCAAAGCCCTGTCTGAGTCTCCAGCTTGGCTGAAGACTCGTAGCCCAGGCAGGCAGTCGGGCTAGCACCGGAGAGGTTAACGCAGCCCTCTGCTCGATGAAGGCAGTGTCGTGCCGTCTGCTGAACGCTAATGGGAAGGTTTGAAAGCAGATTGCCATCAACTTCCTGTTCTAATCCCTGTACCAAACAGATTGTACTGTGTCTCCTCGAGAGGAAAAGCCAGGAGCAGTGTGACCTCTGCGATGTGCTGTAACAATAAAGTGTTTCTAATGGTTTCACCAACTCGCCTCCTGCAATGGCTGTCGTGATCAGCGCTTCGAACGATCGAGAGGCAACCTCCCTCTGCTGAGCGGGGCGAGAGCTGGGTAGAGACAGGGTCACTGTTTGCCCGGCGTAGCCCAAAGCCAGCCCTGTTTGGAGCTCAGGCCTGTCAGTAAATGAGTGACATCGATGTGACTTCTGTGTCTGGGCAGGCGCAGTGCTGAGGTGGAGGGTGGAGAAAGGCAGATCCCGTGCAAACTCCCTCGCTTTGCTCTGGTCTGGTCGCCCCCCGTGCTCTGATCCGTCGTGTGTCTGATGCAGTCTGAGATGAGCCGGCCTGAGAGCTGCTGGCCTCCCAGCTCGGAGGAGAGCCAGGCCTGCCCAGCAGGCAGGCGCGTCACACGGATCTGCTCGGCCCTCTGGGCAGAGCGCAGCGACGCGGGGCTGCACGTGGAAGTTGCCTTTTCCACGGTGCTTCCGGGCTGTGCAGCCAAGTCTGCCAGAGCTGCCTGCAGTCTTTAATCCAGGGAGAAGGAAATGGCCTGAGTCCTGAACGCTGGCTCCCAGCTCGTTGCTTGCTCGGGTCCAATTTTCCTTCACAGCAGGACCGTGCTGTTCTCATTCTCTTCCCCCACCCAGTGCTCAGGGCTGCTGCCTCCTTCCAGCCTTGCTGCGACCCGCTCCTGCCACAGCCCGAGAAGGAGCTGCGCTGGTTCGGACAGACCCGCAGCGACTCGTGAGCCTCTCGCATGCCACATCTTTCAACCCGCGGCACTCCCTCGCGCTCTGGAGAGATGGAGAACGTAGGGCCAGGGTCACGGGTGAGCTTTGGGCTAACAGGAGGCAGCTCCGGGCACGCGGCGGTGTGGTTCTCCACAGCCACGCCCTGGCTCTGTGCCGGTTTCTAGTCGTTTAGGATTTATGCCTGCTTGAAGCCAGAAGTCGAAGTTGGCCAGAGGCTTAGCTGAAGGCAAGGCCTTCCTCAAAGAGACTCGGCTTGTTGCTAATTCTCCCCCTCCGGCTACGAGCGGTCTCACGCTGCTCTCTCTGCCTCTTGCCCCCACAAACCTTCCCACTCCTCCCTTGCCCTGCTGTGGGCAGCCTCCCGGCGCCGCAGCATCCTCCGTGCCCCTCTGCTCAGCAGAGCCAAAGCAAAAAGTTGTGGTCGCTGGAAAACAGACTGCGCCGCAGAGGTGCCCGTTGCACACAGCACAGGGCAAGCGCAGACCCTTCGCTAAGCATTTGTAATGCAGTCGACGCGGGATCCAGTCTCCATGGCGTTTCCCGTGCCTTGTTTGTGAATGCAGAGATCGTCCGACCCCGAGTGGAAGCCAGCAGGGAGGGGGAGAAGTTCTCCTCCAAGATGTGGTTGCCTTTCTCGCCCCGCGCTCTGGCAAGCGAGAATTCGTTTCCTGCGGGAGCCTTTGCCTCCCACCTGCCTTCCCTGGGTGCGGCCTCCCCGCGGCTCCCGAAGGAGCTCTGCGGCTGAACTGGGCTGTCGCGCCGATCGTCCTCCTGCAAACAATGTATGAGCGCCGGGGCAGAGGGGAATGCAGCCAGAGTTATGCAAGCATCGTGGCCTTTAAATAGCACCTTGCACAGAGCTGCCCTGGAGGTACCAGGCCACCTCCGCAGCGGCAGGGCTCGGGAGCTTGCGGCTGGCGGCTTAGCCCCCTCCCTGCTGCTCTCAGAGTTACTTGGAAGTCGGCACCTGGCGCGGAGGTGATGGCTCTTGTCCCCGTCCCCCCCTTGAAATCTCTGCAGCCCTTTCCGTCTATATTTAATGGAGTTGTGTAACGGTTGCGATGACGCGGTGTCAGGCCCGTTGCTGTTTCTATGCCAACGCAGCTGGATTTCTGTGCTGTGGCTGCGAACGGGGGAGAGAGGGGCTTAGTGCTGACGTGGCATCAGACCCTCCTCAGGCAGCTGTTTCCCGAAGGTCCCGGAGCTGACCGAGATACGAATCGAACCGACTTCCATTGACCTGCCAGGTCTTTCTTTCCCCGGCTGCCGTTGGCACCAGCTTGTCTGCTCCAGGGCTGAGCCGGCTCCGTGGGCTGGGCACGGCACAGGCGAGGTGGAAGAGCTGGAGCGGGAAAGCCTGGACGTCGCGGAGCCTGCGCTGCCTGCCTGGACCTCGAGTGGCAATGGGTCTGCAGAGCGATGGGAATCCCGCCAGTCTCCGTTCTCCCTGCAACCACTAAGCCAGGAGCCAGCATCTCTTCTGGGGCAAGGCCATTCGAGTCCCTTCCCCAGCCTTCGTGACCCCTCGCCCTACAATCATCCCACCAACTTCCTGGGCGTTAGGATAGGAGTCTTTTCCAACACGGAGGCACAGGGACTTACCCAAGATCACATGCTTTGGGCCGAGACCCCTAGGCAGCTGCATTGCCAGCTTCCAAGTGTTTCCCTCTTTCCCCCCATTGCAGAAGCTGGATCAACCGGGCTCCCTCCAGAGCATTTTGATGCCTGGCAATCACAGGTGCAGTGCAGCCATCCCAGTTACAGATACGAGCCTGGCCTCTGTGCAGGATCCCTGCCATGGCCGCCCCTCAAGTGTCTTGGGAGAGAGGATCAAGGAGCTCTCCGCACCTGCGCCTGGGGCAAAGACACCTGTTCGTGTCACCAGCTGTCCCAGCCCGGCGAAGGAGCTGAGGGGCAGCAGATGACGCGGGGAGGGGGTAACACCGAGCTGCATACTCGTCCTCGCGGTGCCCAGTGACGCCCCCTCACACACCCCGAGGTGAGACGCCGGCAAAGCGACTGTCACCTCGCTCCTTTTCTGCACATTTTAAGCGACCCGGTGTCAGGTGAGTCACCAGCCGCCAGCTGGAAGAGCCTTTGGCGGCAACACGTCCTCAGCTTTGCTATTTCCACCGGTGGGAAAAATTCTGTGCGATTTCTCGCTCGCAGCAACGGCGGGGACAAAGCCAAGCTGTTCGTGGGCAGTGGGGCTCGGCTCCGGAGCACGACCTGAAGGAAGGGGAACGGCCCCTTGGCCTGGCACGGGGAAGAGTTTGGAGGACGACTTGGAGAACGGAGAGCCGAGAAGCACGAGAGGGCATGCAGCATGCGGGACTGCAGGGATACCTGAGCTGGCTCGCCAGCTGCAACCTGGCCAGGGCAGCACTGGGTAGCTGTCCCCAGAAGACCTTGCCTCGTCCAGAGGAGACGGCCGAGGGGCAAGCACCGGGGAAGGGAAAGGATTCTGGCAGCTACAAGCTGTGTTGGCCCAAGGACAAGCGCGCGCGGTCTCTCCATTAACAGACTACGCGCCAGGTGCTTCTCACACCCAGTTTACGACCAGGATCGGAGGGCACGGCTGCTCCCAAGAGTTGGGAGCTGACCTTGCTGGCCCAGGAAGACGGTTCCTGCCCCGTGTCCCGGCTCCGCTCACACAGGGAAGCCCTCGATTAAAGGAGGAAGCAAACAGCCCTCGCCTGGGCAGGGAGAGCCCAAGTGGCGCAGTCGGACGTGCCCAGCAGCCCTGTCTTTTTAATAAAGTTTCATTCCCAGGTCAAATCCATTCCCAGTTTTGACTGAGCAGAACTCAGTTGTTCAAGTCCGTGCGCGACTGTCGGACGTTTCAGCCCAGGGCTGCAGATACTTCCAAATCCATGGCTCCAAACACAAGCAAGCCCCAAGCCAGGAGGCCTTGGAGTTGAGATGCCCCCTCGGCTCCTGCCCCGAGCCAAAAGGTCAAAGGAGCAAGCGAGCGGGAAGGCCCGAGAGCAATCTCCCATCGCCATAAATCGCGTAGGCGAGATCCTCCGTGTGGGAGGCTGTAGTCGACTCTCGCAGGCGGACCTGCCTGCGGTGCAAGGGCCGGGTCTCCATCCTCAACTACACCGGGTCGTGCAAGGAGGAGAAGGGGAGCTCCCCTGCCAGGGCGGTAAAACCACCTGGGCCGAAACCATCATCACGCTCTCTCTCCAAAGTCTGGGACCAGGGGAAAGGCTTAGACAGGGCCTGGCGCTGCCTCCTCCACCGCCAGCCGCCACGTGAGCAGAGCCCACGAACGGCCCGTCTGAAATCAGTGCATCTTGCTGGCAGGATGCGGCGGAGCTGACCGCGGGGGGAGCAGCCCGGAGCCCTCCGTGCCTCCACGCTGCATGCTAGCGCGGCTCCCGGCCTGGCAGAGGCTCTCCCGCTGCCCCGGCGCACGTCCCCTTGATTTAATAAAGCCATGCCAAAATCCCAGCGTGCTAATTATGCAAACGATCCTCAACTCTTCCTGCTCTCCGGAAACGTCCCCGAGGAGCTCCGGAGCAATTTGTAGTTCAGCGTTACTGGCCTAGAAAACAGGGAGGCGACGAGCAGGGAAGGGCATCGGCCTGTTGAACAGCGCGGCGGTGACGAGGGGCTGAGGGTCCCAGCAGCTTTGGGGCATTAGGCACCAGGCCCCTCTCCTCTCCCCTTGGTCTCGGCTTCCACTTGGCTGTGGGGACACCCCCCTGCTCAGACCCACGTGCCACCATCTTATCCGGCGGAGGGCATTGCCATTGGCTTTGGAGCCTGCTGTCTGGAGCGTGGATAACAGCCAGCTTGTTTTCCAGCCCAGCTCTCTGCCCTTCTCGCTGGCCTCCACGTCCCCATGCCTGCTCCCCACTCCCTGCCTTCCCTGCCTCTCTTCCTGCCCTTCGACTCGCGGCGGCTTTGCTCCCTCGCCCGTCCACCGAGCCAGTCTGGAAATGGAAGTGCATTTTCTTAAAAAACAGCCCCGAAGGTGTCACGTAGCCAGTATCCCCGTGCTGCCTCTTTGCTGGGTGCCAGGGGGCGAGGGTTGCCCGCTCGCCGGTTGTGTGCCGCGTGGGTCCAGGTGGGAGCTCTGTCCTGGGTGCGGCGTGCAAGGAGCCGAGCCGACAGGAGCAGGAAGGCAGCTGGGTTTGACAGTGGGAGCAGACCGACGCGCGCAGAAGGGTCCTGCCAAAGCGGGGATGGAAAGGCAAGCTGATGGGGACAGCCTGGCAAGATTGCTTTTGGATGCAATCTCCCTCCTAGGAGACAGGAACTGTCC